TTTAGTACCTACCTTTTTTTTTTGAACAACCATTTTTGGCGAATATGTGGAAGCACATGTGACTCGAAATGATACGAATTCAGTTTTGGCGTTACCCAGTGTTATAGATGTTTTCATTCAGCTAGTCTACGTGTCCAAGGGGGAACATATCTAGCTACATTGTAACAAACTAGATAGATTCCTTTATCATAACTAGTTTGATTGCATCAAACCACATACATTCATTTAGATCTCCTAAATCAAAGGCTCCTTATAACACAATGGTTGTTATATCAGTAGTGGGTTGTCTCGTGTAAGAACACTTATCCTTAATGATCCAATTTGAATTCAGACATAGAAACTATAATTTTTTGTATATGATTATTTTTCTGAAAAGGTAATTAGTAGTTATTTCTCTTTTTTAATTGTAATTTATGCTTTTTACCATGTAACACCGCCTAATGTTGAATATAATACATTGTGGAGTTATACGTTTAATTGCAATACAGCCTCAGTGTTTTTGACGCAGAACTGCTAAATTCCATCGAGTTGAAACCTACATCTGAAGAATTTCATTATGGCGAAATTTATCAGAAAACTTATACTGCAATTCACATTCAATCCAATTACAACTTGAATTATTGGGAAAAAAAATAAAAGATCACTGAAATTATAACTTTTCAAATGTAAGGTTAGAACTTTCGTCGAATCTATTGAAACGACTTATACGAACTCAAACACGTACCTCTATTCTATGGAATATTTTAGACGATATTATCTGATGACCGAGTACTTGATATACAAATTTCTATCTCATGCATATGTATAAATAAAATTGAAATGTAACTCGTATACCGTATGCGCTTGGAACAGCACTCAATTCATCAAAATGATCGACATGGGTTTTTATGAGAAGGTAAGTTTGCCTTTTTCAATGAGAATAATAATATAAGACATAATAATGTATGTATATAATATATGTTTTCTCAATGAATAATTCACGAGGTCATGATGATGAGTTACAAAATTGTATATACTTATTTGGGCCTCGATACGAAATCTAGAGAAATGCAGATTAGGAAATAGAAAACTCGAAAAAATGAGAAGGATGTAGAATTGTCATATTTAGGATACCATGAAAAAATATTGGTTAATTCTTGACTTGGTTAATTAAATTGGTTAATTTTATTCCATTACCTTAAACTATCATTACCAATATTCAAAGACAAGTAGAAGGCATTTATGCTTAACGTCACTGTTTGATTCCACCCTAACTATTTATGCGGGCTTAATTAACATCCCTTATACGTCCTCATCTCATCACGTTGTCTCTTTGAGCTCAGTATCGCTCTTATATGAAGCGATGTAGATGCAAAATCCAATCGCACTCTGATAAAATAGGTTTATATGAATATCGGCTATTTTGTATGTTTGACGCGGTACTTTTTTCATCTGTCGCATGTACGCTAGGTTCTCCCGTCAAACGGCCAGCCCCTTTCCCTCGAAAAAATGCAATTTCGTTTTCATTTCCATATATTTCTGAGAGAGCCGCCATTCGCCGAATTCAAAACACGGATGGCTATTAAAATGAAATATACAACGATTCATTTTCAGATACAGAGAGAGAGGGAACACGGCAGATCAATCAGGAAACGCAATACATTTAAAAAAAACGCGCGCCCGGTGTATAAATATTTTAAAATTTATGGTGAATTTTAAGCGACGCAGAGAGCGACACAAACGAACCAAAAAGTATCGTCTCTTTTCTGCTGCAGATTGAATTAGGCCCCCTTCGCGGACGCGCATGACGGCCCGCATTTGCGAAAAAATCGCCTCTTCCATGTTGGAATATTGAAAAGTCGGATGTTTTATTCAGTTAGTTGACCCCGACTACCTACATTGACTTTTTGTTCCAGAGCGACATCCTAAAAAATGATATAGGGCCACGCACCGATGTTAATCTGTCATACAAAAATTATCGCGTACAATTCAAAATTTGCCGTCCAATCAATCACAAGCTACCGTTTCGATAATGAATTATTTTTACCGTAAGACTTCATTCAACATTCAAATACATTATACGCAAACGCAGTAATCTCCTCGCGTCCATGTAACGTTACTTTTTTCAATAAAAACAATTTGGGCACATTGCTTAAAAGCCTAGAAATATCCTTTGACTTGATGTTTCTTCATACTCATTTTGAATCAATGAATAAGGCAAATTGAAGAGTTGTCCACATTCTCCAGATCTCTCCAGATTCTCCAAAAGAATGCATTCATAAAGGAATCACCAAATATGTCTTAAACCACCACCATTCAAACTTTACAAAAGTTTTAGAATGTTCATTCCATATTCTTTGTATAACAATTTCACGAAATATCTGGAGAATGATTCAACAACCTATCGAAATAAGTCAGAAAAGGCAACCTGGCAGATAAGGCACAATCATAGAACAATTCATGCAAAAACTTGATTAGTTGTGCAGAACGACAGAAAAGATCTAGTTATCTTGCTTTCACAAAATTATCAATGAGTTATAGTAATTTTTTTTAATTTTAATCAAAAAGGGTTATCCAATATTTGGAAATACCCTTAATGGCTTCGACGTATGTCATTAGCCAGCACTTATTTTTTTAATACATTATCAAAACCAAAAAGTATAAAACAAAATAAAATTAATGTTTAGACACAGGAACACTATATGCCTAGGCGTTCCTCAGGGCGATTTATTCTTCATACTCAAACAAGACATAAACCACTTTATAATTTCACTTTAATGAACTTTATATGCTCCAATAATATTCTGTACACTTCCATATTCCCGAGAGACAGTAAAAATGCCAAATTGAAAGGCTGCTCGTACTTCAGAACATTGGCAAGTCACTTCAATGACTGTGTGTCTAATACATATTTATTGTCTTTATTACAAATAATCACACAAACATTGAAAACCTACGAAAGTGACTACTAATTCCAATCAAGTTATAACGAAATTATTACAAAGCAGTCACAGAAGATAATATAAATTTTCTTATCTTGAACAATTAAAAAATCAATCAAATTGACAAATATTAATATAGTTAGAGGGCAAGTGAAAAACTATAAAACTTGATAACAAAATGAGTAATAATATATGATGAAATATAATGAATCAGCTCTATAATAGTAATCAATATGGCAATACTTTATCAAATGAACGCAGAAAGTAATGTTTTTTAATTCAGTGGACCTACAGCTTAACGCCGGTTCCGAACAGCCAATAGGCTTGAAATCAATGTACATTGCCCAACAATTATCATCATTACACTACTCAAATCATAGACAAACACAAACACTCATGCATTCACCGGGACTCGAACCCGAATCCTACCGCACCATAGTCGATTGTTTTCCCACGGTTTTTTTACTGGAAAAAGTTCCGACCAGTTCAGCATCAGAAGATACCCCTTCGAACATCAAGAATTTTTTTATATAATTGTTATATGAAGAAAATTGACATTTGCTGATATTTGTAATTAACAAAAACTCATGGGTTTCGATAATAACTATTTTGTTCTTCATTTTGGCTGCATATGAAACTCATGAGTACCATCAAACCATTCATCGACTGAAGTCAAATTAGGATAATCAATACTGTCAGACCTCTTGAACCTAAAATAAACGTAAGATACCGATTCCAACCAGTATCAGATTAATAAAGTCTTGTATAAAAAACTGCTGATCCGGTACCAAAGAAGGCGCATCATTTTGACATCACTATTTCATTGTCTCAATGCATTAGAAAAAATTCTAGAAATTGCCATTGACCTGAATACAACCGATATTAAAACAAGATTGACAATAATAGCGCTGTTTGCATCACTCAAGGCCGATATATTGTTCATGTTTCCACTACTGAAGAATTAGCATGCCTGAGAAATGTTACAGTATTAATGGTGCACATCAGCAACCTTCGCCAATGGAACCTAAGTGCTCCAAAAGAACGTAAATCCGAACGGAAACAATGAAGTGTTTGCCATTCATTAAATAGCAATAACATTATGACTTACGATTCGAAGTTTATAGATTTGATAATCTCGAATATTGTTTATCGTGTCACAGTGCAATAGAATAAACCATTCTGGTTTATAAATCGTATAATAAATTTGTGAATATATTTGAAAAATAATTTATATACATGTTTATAAACGAACTAGTTTGAGAAAAGTGAGAAATGTTTCAGAAAGTTTGGAGTGGCATCTTTGTAAAGTAACTTAAAGTAAAAGTAAAGAGTAAAAGTAACAGTAAAAAAGTAAAGTTATTATTTTCCGGCGATATCTATCAAGTTTGACTATTGGCAGGGTCAAACAGTTTTGCTCTCCAATAAACAGTCATTCGCGGCAAACAAAAAAGTTTTTCTTAACCTTGTTTCGTCATAAAAGCCAATTTGTTTTTAATTAAACGAGCGTGCGATATACCAGTCATTGTTATCTTTTCAATAATACGCCACCATGCAGCCACTATAATTTATATTGTATTCATCATATTTATCTCTGGAAATGATTATATATTAAAATATTCATAGTCGCCACATATTAACATATGTTTCTCATAAATATAACACACAAACAAAAAGCCTCCGATATTTTCAACACATGCTTGAATAATGATTCATCTATCTTCGTAATTTTAATGTTTTTACTTGTATAGAAGGTATTTCACGTAGCATGCGTTTATGCATTCGTTAGAAACGATAATGCAAATGAATAAAATGATTCAGCTGCAGGAAATGCACACGATAAAATAAGTGCCACCTGTATTACAGTCAACGAAAAACAAAAGTGCATAAGATATATTATTGTGGGTCTAAGTCACTGATATGTTACATATTTGAACACTTACTCTTCGACAAAATTTTAATCAAAATTATGAAAGCGTGCACTTACGCATAATACGATAGGAGTAGTTCACATACAAGAACTGGACAGCTGTTGTTACCGAGTATAGTTCAATTTATTATGTGTTAGTAACTATATGCATCGCCCGCTCCGTAGCTTAGTCGGTAGAACTCCCGACTATGGAGCGGTAGAACTCGGGTTCGAGCCCCGCTGAAGGCATGGGTGTTTGTGTTTGTCTATGAATTGAGAAGTCTAAATAATGATATTTGCTGGGTAATGTACATCGATTACAAGCCCAATGGCCGTTCGGAACCGGCGTTAAACTGCAGGTCCACTGAATTAAAAAAAAACTATGTTCTCTTATTCACATTAGTGTTTCATAAAACACTGACAAGTTCGACGATCTTTAGTTATGACAGATTTCATAACCAATAAAACTAAATTGACTAACTGTGAACATAATAATCATTGATTCTTGTTTGAGATTTTCACATAACTGAGCATGAAATGGCTAAACTGTCATTCAGTCTATTCATGTAAAAATTTTCAATTGTATTCCATTCAATGAAGGAAATGAACATTGCGAAGGATTTTCTCGCTTGCAGAGTCGAAAAACGATAATTTATTTCTCAGGTTAATAAAAAATTCAGAGAAAATATAAAATGTAAGTCTTCAACTGAAAATAGGTTTCAAGGTCAAGAAAAAAGTGGGTGGAAATATACAGGTTTCGTATGCATTTTGAGAATTCTAAAATAGCTGCACTGAGTGATTTAAACTTCGTTCATTGATCTACTGGTCACAACAATACGTTGTTTAACCTAGAACTGGAAATGGAAAGCAGTTGTAATTTTGAACAGAAAAAACAGTTTTTTCTGAAACAAAATGTTGCAAAACATTTTAATCAAATTTTATTCCAAATATTGTTCTGTAATATCCTAAGGTAATTTGAAGAAAACAGGAGTGCCATTTGAAGCAATTGAAAAAAATTGGAAATCACTACCTTCTGGAACTTACTGCGTAGTAACTATTACAACCAACTGTTGACCAATAAGTATAAATTTATAAGCATTTCAATAAGCAATATAACCTCACCAAAAAATTCGACATGAGCTTACTACACGTAACTCTTAAGTTAAATTTATATTCACAATAATATAGGTACAACTTCAAAAGAAAAATTTACTTCAGAAATATTAAACATTTGAGACAATTCCACATGGTGAAGGACATTTGTGGTAAAAAAATATACAAACATATGATACAAAAAATTGATTCATACATTATTGCCTACATCCGAATCATCGAAGTACTCTGTCACACTATAGTATGCCTTTGGGATACTATAGTGTGGAATATATATTTGGAAGAGCAGGGATTTAACTCTCCTCTGAAACAAATGAGTTTTCAGTACTTTCAAATTCGATGGTAAATGGTTGAAGATTTTAATAGTCTGAGAATAGAGAACTTCTATGTTCGCCAATTACCTACTCTATGTGATATTTGCTTGGCTTCATCTACTTGAGTGCAAATGAAAAGAATGGCTTTGGTCAGCAGCAGGCGAAATATGTATCTTCCTATTTGTTGTCTCAATCATTTGGCAAATACACGAACAGATGCCTAAATATTATAATGAATAAATTTTCTCAAATTTCAATTTGTCAAGTTTCCAATAGATGAAAGAGTGTCGCCTTGGTCACGTTGTTGAGGCCCTTTATCAGTTGAAATCACTTCCTAACGTTTGGATAACACGTTAACAGTAACTTACGTTACTGTTAACGTTAACGGAACAACTTCAATGGATGAAGGTCTTTAATTTAAATCAAATCATTACTAGTTTAAACAAAATATTCTTTTGGCAATTCATTTTCTAGTCAATTTTTGTTTACTCTAACCTCGATAATTCAATTCTAAGAGAAGCAGGTAAGTGAATATTTTCTTGAAAATAATCTACCAATAAACAATCACACATCACAAAAGAACAACTGTAAAGAAAATTGCAGAATTTCAATTTGTTAAATTGCCGATAAAAAGGATAGATTCATCTATCGCAAAAACCAAATGTGACAAAAAGTGAGTGTGCTGATTATACGCAGAATTCTGTCGAGAGAGGACAGAAAACGCGTCTCGCAGAAAAATGAGAGGAATAATTCCACCTATAGGTACGCGTTTCGATGAATAATAGAGCGTGCACTGAACAGTGCCAACAATCAAAGTAGCGAGTGACGAGGGGGTGAACGACAGTTGTTTGTCACCATCCATCTGAGGGCTGTAGATTGACGTGCGGGGGGTACGCGAGGGAGCGCGGCTAGAGGGTCACCCTCCCGCCCCCAACGCATCGACCCACGGGAGAGTTGTTTTTATATTTTTGCATAGCGCCTATTGATCCGCACTCATATTTTCATACGTGTATAACATCTACATTCTCATTCGGAGCTTGGGCGAATATAATTTATTTCAATCGGATTTCGAGGCAGTATTGCGAAATGATCGACGTTTCCTGAATTGGGTCAATCCAGAGCGATTCCATCTCTGTCAGAATATTCGAGTTTTAGCAGAAGAAAATTTTGAATTTACACTTACCAACATGATAAATATGCGTCCCTAAAAAGTTACTAAAAAGTCCCTAAAACTGGACTATAGTTATTTTGGACATCCCTCGAAGAATTTTTCAGAAGATACGCCGAAATCAAGAAAATTTAAATGAATTCATATGGTTAGGTTCATATTTTGTATAACCTGGACTTCCATCATTTTTTTTCACACCAACATATATCGTAGCATTATGAATAATCGAAGGATAACCTACTTGAATTTATTTTTTCATTCTGTTTTTTGCCTTTCCTACAAACATTTTTAACTAAGCCAATCAACAAACAATTTTTGGGTGGTTAGAGTAAATGAAGTTGCTTCTGATATGTTTTGCGTAAATTGATTCAGTAATCAGGTTGATTATTAATGTTTTATTATTCAGTGAATTCCTACTTCTAAGACTTTTCAACCTAAACGTTATTTTTGATTCAATTACTTCAAGATATTTCGTTGGGAAATGAGAGTAATATGACGTGTAATCAAAATTATTTATACATTTCAGAACTTAACATTTCAGTTACCCTGTATATTATCTCTATGAAATAACGAATAATTCGAGGTGGAATGGAAAATACATTATAATACATAGCTCGGATATAATTGTGAACAATCAGAGGCACATTCTTCGTATCTCGAACATACAAGGTCACTTTAATATTATTACTTATTACTATCGTTCCTAGAATCTGGTCCCTTTTTATTGTTAGGTATAATTTAAGGCGGCGAAGATTATTGTTATTATTTATTGTTGTATCATATCTTCTATCGCGGACATGAAATAACTTACTACGCTGTGCGTTCATATTATTTTTTGTTTTCGTCCGTATAATACCAGTTATTCGGCGAACGGCTACATATATAATGTGATTTATGTAATGCATGAATATGTTTTTAACTGGGCAGACAATCAAGTATATGATTATGAATAATACATGGAGAACAATTGAAAATATTAAGAGTAGGAGTTCATTTGTCATGTTGGCTGTTTCCGCAATAATGTTATGGTAATATGGTAACGTACGTATTGTGTGCTCTACGAAAATAAAAAAATCAAATAATGATCGTCGCACTAACGAACCTAGCATTCTATTATATAGGGTTCGATATTAACGAACGTGCATGGCTGAATAGCGTGAATTTATAATAATTAATTTAATGCTTACGATTTATCTCATTACGTCTCAGTTCGCCAAAGACAAATAAAGTATGTACGAGGTGTGATTATAAAATGCCTGAACTGGTAGTGGTTTTTCGTGTGGTTATTTTATCGTAAATATAAACGTTTTCAGTCATATTAATCGTACATTATGTAGGAAGTAAACTTGTGAAATATTATAGGTACTCATTCAATGTTTGACTCTTGTTTCTCCTGAATGTGGTACTGCATTGAGAAGACGGAACATTTGTAGAACTAAATAACTAGTTGTTAATTCAGTTCTACAAAGTAGTAGTAATAGTTGTGAACAACTTCAAAGAAGATGTTATTTCAATATATTTGGTATTCAATTCTAGTGCCATTATTCGTGAAGCATTGCAAATAACAATAACAAACTTCACTGTCCAAGCTTTCAATGGTTAATCAACATGTTCCAATCTAGTTCTCTATACTAATTTTCAAGACCTTGAAATCTTTCTTCAAGCCTTGAGGTTTATAACTCGGAATTCATAATAAAATATATGAGTATTGACTTTCAATAATGATTGAAAGTCGAACTGAAGTAATTCGAAATACATGTTCTAGTGTATTAAATCAGTTTCATGGAAATTAGAATTATTTTGAATTTCAATATATTAGATTGAGTTAACTATTGAAATCAAGCGCTCAGGTTATCACAAAGTGAAAGCACCGATCCGAGTTCATTTTGGAAACACTAGGACAACATTTAATTTCCATGGAAAATTCGCGAAACGCAATCGCAACGACGTCATCTCGGAAACGTATCGAGAAGAACGGTAGAAATGGCAGCGCGATATTTCACGAATTCGACGGTTTCGTTTTGTTTCATTAAATTTAAAAAATCACATCGAATTTTTGTCTGGTCGCGGGGAAACAATGGCGGTCCGCCGAGAATATAAATATATGATGGCCGGTCCTCGTTCGGACACATTTTTTAAATGAAATATCGGGGCGATATAGATGCGGACGCCTACGTTTCTCGATATGAAACGCAAAAATAATTAAACATTTTTCAGGCATGCGAAAAAGTTTGACAGACAAATAAAAATGGTCATTTGAAATATGAGAGTATAGGAAAACGTGAACAGTTGTGTTTTTCTGCGTCCAGTGGTCGCAAACGAAACGACAGAAGGACGTAACGGTTTTTTTTATTTTTTTTTAGTTTTTCCTATTCGACTGCTGGCCGTTATTTCCAAGCATCTGATTGGCGAAACGACTTTACAATGTGGGATTTTTTACTTTTTTCAACGTTGGTTTTAATGTATAATCGATAAATAACATATTGTGTATAGAAATTCCCGTTGCATGTTTCGAATATGAGAGTGGATGATTTTCATGGGGATTCTCGACTCTTATTAGCCTCTGGTTCGGACATTCCATCGATATTTCCTTTATTTCACTCTGGTGAGTTTTCGATTAGTTCTAAAATATTTATTCAGTTCCAAACTGGTAT